CTAGAACCACCTCCAATACATTAACATGCAATTAAAACTCCAAAGTAGCTGAACTTACAAAATCTGGTTCTGCTGCAAACAGAGGTACAGAAGCATGATTAGACTTCCTACCTCTATTAACACTATTTTTAATTCCCTTTAATGGAAAAGCATGATGCTAAAGGATACTTTACACTGTAAAAACATTTCTGTAGGAGTACTAAAAGAGTTAGGTGGCCAAGTTTACACGCATTTAGCATTAACTGAGATTCCCTTTACTGGAATGAACTCAACCACTTATTAATATATACACCCTCACTATTTGAATGTGATGTCAAGTCACAGTTCAGCAACACTCAACATTATTTAGAAGACGTATTTTAAACTAAGAAATATTTACTTAAGCTTTAGGGCAGTTCACTAGCTCAACCAAGAGATGTTCATCTTGTAATTCTTCCTTAGAAGTTCCGGATCGCCCTTAGGTTTAAACTAACCACACCAGTCACCATTACTAATGAATCCACACAGAGGGAAAAATCAAAGTTAATTTTGCATGGATTATTGTTTGTTTGTTCTTAAATCCATTGATTATTCATTCAGAAGATGAGTGGAAGTTATTCTGGCAGGTGACACAGAATATAGGAGGGAACACATAGGACATCTTAGAGCACAAGCATGAATCCAGCTGAAATACTCTAGCTCATGATTTGCCAAGGTAAGGGTGAGACACAACCTTGACATGCTGCACTGGATGCTCTGAGGATCTCACTTTCTTTTTCCTCCCTGCTCTCCTTTGGATATATTCTGAAGCAATTTGAACCTTAAATCAATCTCCCCTTGTGTGACCTCTAACTCTTGCTGACTGAGTGACCATAGAGAAAGAAGGGCAGTGGAATTATGCACTGCACTCCATGAGCACAGCTGAAGGCATCAGTACCAAAAAGACAGGGCTAGGGGAAGAAAAAGGAAAAAAAACGGGGCTCAAAAGAAAATTTCTTGCCAAACAAGAAAGAGGCAAAGCATTCGCCACAGGTCTATTACTGGCTCTCTCATCAGCCACAACAATGAAATGAATGACTTGGAAAAAACCTTCCTGAAAACCCCACAATTTTCTTTTTAAGCTCTGAATGAAGGGAAAAAAACCCTCCACACCCATGCTTCATGTTTTCTTGTTTGTTTAAAGGCCATATTCCCAAGGGCAGTAGATGAGCATATCTGCACATTAGGAGCCACAAATCTGTGCAGAGGCGCACTGAAGTGGAGCCTGTACAATTAAATTGCTACATATGCACAAATACACAGAGGATCCCAGGGAAACTATGGCAACCACTAGTCCTCCAGGTTGTGATTCCCCCTTTGTCCCTACCTCTTTTTGCTCTTCCAGTCCTTCCCAACTTGGACAAGAAAAAGAACAAACAGAAGTATTAATGAGGCTGGGATTGGACCTGCAACAAAGGAGCTGGAAAGGCAAAGAGAGCTGCTCACAGGCTTGAATCTGGAAACGTTCTAAAGGAAAAACTTTTCAGTGGAGTTGTACAACAGTGATGAATGGGATACAGACAGCCCTGGGGTACAAAGTCTTGCCTGGGAAACCAGGGTTAGAGTGCCCAGAGTGCCACTGAATCACTTGCTGGAGCACTGTCACAACTGACTTTTAATTTGGATGCCTTGTGGGGTTTTGGCCAGCTGAGATACTTACAGCCTGATTTTCAGAACTGCTGAGCCACCCCAGCTCCCAGCCCTTTTTTCACTGGCCAAACACTTGGACACTGCTCATAAGTATTTAAAAATAGCAAGGATACTGTCCAAGTATCAAACTATACCTTTTAAACTACCCTAAATCATGCTTTGAAAAATCTTTTGGGCACTATGTGAGGGTTACTGATGCTTTCAAAGTCCTCTGGCATCCTCAAATAGGGAGCCTAGTAGAAGAGCAAAGCATTCCCTATTTTCATGTTTGTATTTAGCTTCAGGGAGAAGAACCTTCTCATCCAAGGTAGCGTTTATTGACATTTAGACCAGAAATGCCACACACTATGCTAAAATACAGTAGATTTTTTTCAATTCCTACAAGCCTGAACCATGGTTTTTGCTAACTTGTTTTTCAAATTGCATTTGCACAGAAGTTTATGCTATAACAACAGGTCTTTTTCAATTTTCACATTTAGCTTCCCCTCTTGATCAATATATCACAACAAAGTCAACCCCAAACCAACAAGAATTGTACTTCATTGCTGACTACAGAGGGAGATAACAAACCAAAGACAGTTTTTGCTCCTGTGAACCTCAGAAAACTCTTTTCCACACAGGGGATGTCAATTTGTATTTCTGAAATCACACACTGTCAAACGTATACATACATAAACACACATATATCTCTGTCTTTTCACCTCCTTGGAATCTAAATTATCTGAAAGAAAAACTCCAATGGATGCATTCCAATCGTACCTCCCACCTTCTTTTCACCTCCACTTTTCAGTCATTTAAATCTGGTTTATTTCTAACCTTCCCTGAAGTCTTAGCAGCAGACTCAGTATGAAGATCCCTACAGAAAAGGTGTTGCACACACAGGGGGGAAAAAGCAAAACCCTCTCTGCCAAGTCCACCTATGCAACCTTAAGGAAATGCAGAATCCCTTTCAAACAGATAAAGGGACTGACTCATCCCCCAGACCTTTTTTAATTCAACATTGGGCACCTCATAGTGTTTCCACACAATCTGTGCTCTTTTTTTCCCCCCTAACTCCTTGATGTATGACACAGAAAAATGCTGGAGGCTCCCTGATCCTCTGAGGAGAGGACATTGCCACACATTTTAGTTATCACTTCTCTCATGTATTGCCAGCCGCTACTGCTCCTGCTGGTTTTTTTACCCTGGGTTTTCCGTTTGGGTTTTTTTGGTTGGTTTAAGCAGTGTACTAAATTTTACCATTCAAAAATGTGACTTAGCACAAACTTTAAAGAAATCCTTCCTCAGCACTCAGACAGGCAATGGATATTGATGAAGAGGAGCAGTTCTACCACAACTTCCTAAGTTTAAGCCAAAGAAGAATTCTGACAGAGAAGAATCAAAACAAAATAAATTCCTCCTAGTGAGATCCATTGCTCTCAAAGTTTAATCCTAATTCTGACCTGAATTTTGTTAGAGACAAACTGCTCAGAAATCTTTTGCACATGAGAAGATAGTACCACAGTATTTTGAGGCAGCAAGGAGCCTGAAATGCAATGATCTGCTTATATTATTTTATTTATATATCAATACTATAATTATGAAACTTAATTTGGTTTTTCATTTTTCCCTGCCCTCAGACTGTCTCCATACCATTTTTTATTCCATTTCTTCTCATCTCTGTATCTTCTTCTAAATGCAAGTAACATCCACAAAATGACACCATGCCTCACAGCCTTGATAGCAAAACTATTGTGGAAATGAAAGAGCATTTAGAAAACCAGACTTAGTTTCAGAGCCTGATTTTGCTATCAACCTCACTTCTTTTGTATCACTGTACACCGTTTGTTTCAAGTGACCTGATTAAGCCCAAGAATGCTTCCAGGAAGGGCAGCTGACAGCAAACCCTGTGACACAGAGGGGATGGAGCCACCACAGCAACCCCACACACAACTCTGAGCAGGAGTTTGCAAAAAGACCCTGTGCCAGACGTACTTCATGCCAATGCCAGAGCATGCTGGGGTTAATTTACACTCCCAGTTACAAGAGAAAATAGCCAGCAGATGCTACTGAGAATGCACAAGCACATCATCTTGTAGCTGCAGCCCAGATCTTTCCCCAAAAAAGCACCAATGGCTTGATCTCACTCTAGGCCTTTTTTCCTGTCCCTGGACTCTCAAGATGTTCTGTAGGTGTTTAGTGGTTTTGGCCACCTAGAAGGTGTGGTGTGCAGGGTGGAAAGTGAGGGAGACTGGCCACCCTGCTGAAGCCCTTTCCTGTATGATTGTGCAGTTACTCACACTTCAATAGAGACCCCAGAGCAGCAATGGAGATTTTATTAAACAGCTCCAATCTACAGTAGCAGATGGAATGATAAAACCTTTCAATAATTAAAAGTACACACGACTAAAGCAGATTACACAGAACTGCACCCTGAATTCTTCCCAAGCCTTGATTCTAGCTGGTAGCACTGGGTATCTTTACTAAGGAAATGGCAGTCACTGGTGGCCTTGAAGGCTTGTCTGAATTTATCTAAGAGAGGAACTAATTTACTGCAGCTCTATTAAAAATCTCTCTAAACAGCAACAGCTGAACAGCTCAGCAGTCAGTGGCTGTTAACATCACTGCCAGGCTCCTTTGCTAGGATCAGCTGGGAATGAGAAAGCTTCGTTACTATGCTTGCAGTTCGAACATTCAAACCTTTAACAGGCACATCAGTAACTAAAAACCAGAACGCCAGATCCAGACAGGCTGAGTCAGAACAGGTCCAGGCTACATGAACATGCCTCCAAAATCCCTGCTTCAGAAAGACATTAAATAATGGATGGGAAAGCAAAAACTGAACTTGAGCAGCTGGCTCAGGGAACTGCCTTTCCCTTCTTCAGTGCACAGCAGTGCAACCCTACCTAGCCCTCATCTGCTGCACAGCACTCGCCTGGGCATTTTCTAGAGGCAGTGATACTCTCTACACTGGAATTTACACACAGAAATATCAACTCTGTATGATTAAGCTGAAACAAGGAATGTTCCAATAGGCAAGGACAGCTTTAATCAGGTGGAAGCCTGCACATTGTTTATTAAAAAAAAAAGGCATTAAAAACCTATTTCTTCCCTCCTGACTTGAGAAGTCTGTTAAGGGTTTATGTTGTTTTGGTTTAGCTTTAAGTCTGCAGAGGGTATAGCTAGCAAACACTGAATGTTTTGATTATTTCTCAGGACTAAGAGACTGCATTTCCAAATTATATACTTTTTCTAGAAGGTTTGGTTTGGTTTCTCAAGGTCAGTGCAATATCATAGAGCAGTTTAAAAAAAAAAAAAAAGGAAAAAGATAAAGGAAAAAAAGAGTCCCTTACCTGTGGCAGAGTGAAGACTCTCCAAGCTCCAGTACCTGGACAGGACGCCTCTCATGCCACCACCACCACACACCACCCCGCTGCTGTCTGAATCCGAGCCCGGCGAGAGCCCGGAGCTGCCGCTGCTGCTGCAGTTCTCGCCACTGTGTGCCCCGCTGGACTCACTGGGGCACTGCTGGGTCCTCATGCAGGCAGGTGCTCGGGGGAGCCGGGGGCTCTGCGGGGCTGCGGGAGGAATGGGGCAGCGCTCTCCGGAGCTCTCCCAGGGCAGCGGGACCTGGCAGCGCCGGCTGAGCACTGGGCTGGATCCCGAGCCTCCTCTCCGCTCGCCTCGATGCATCCTGACATCATAGGGGTCCACTAAGGAGGCTCCCTCTGTGGCAGCTCCGCTGCTTTCAGCTGCAGCTTCCAGCAGCTGATTTTTATTAAAGCCGATTTCAAGGCATTAAGAAAGCAAGGGGTGAGACAGAGATCTCTCCTCCTAATTTAGCAGAACTGTCAGATTAAAAATAAATAAGTGGAAATAGTAGGATTTCATGCATTTTAAAAATGCTCAAGTGAGAGAGACCTTGTGTTATCTGCTTCCCCTGAGAACTCAGAAAGGATTTAACATATAAACTAATCATGCTTAGAACTGGCTGTGGCTGCCGCTATTAAAAAACTATTTTTGTAAGTACTCAGAAAAAGAATTCAAAATGAAATTAAAGCCAGAAAAACACAGATTGAGATTTGGGGAGATTGAAGCTGGGAGTTTTGAAAAATCATTTAGCATCCGCTCCCAGAGTGCAGACCTGGTATGATCCCTATTTCCATGTGTAATCTTTGTAAGAGACCTCAGTCCCAACTGAAACAGAATCACTGAGTACTATTTACTAGAAAGTTTTATTATATTCCCCTTACCTGGAGATTCCCTGTGTCCCTATAAGAAGGATCCTGAAAGAATACCAGTTTCCTGAGAATGCAGAAATACCTGTGCACTTTAAAAACAGCTTTGAGATTTATAATGAAGGACATTTCTGGGCTGCCACTCTGCCCAAAGACCTTGCAGACAGCAGATTTATCAAACTATCAAAATAATTTAAGAGTACCTACATGGTTTGTAACCTGTGCAGCAGAAAAGAGTGTAAGACCAGAACTAGCCTGATTCAGTGTGGGATTACCCAGGCCAAGAGAAAGTTTGGCCAGATGAGACTGCAAGTAGGGGTTGGACCAAAGCAAAGGAGATCAGATCCCCCAGCACATCTGGGAGAGGGACAGCCACCCACACGTGAGCCACAAGGGAAAACCCCACACTGCTCCTGTCACACAGAGAGTGCTCATGGTTCCAGACAACAAAATCCCAACCCAGGAGCCCAGTTTCACACAAACTGAAAACACTTCTTTTACAATTTGTATGTAAGGTAGCTCTTTGCAAAGTACACAAGGCCATGTTTTATGGCCATCACAGCTTGTTCCAATAGAAACCCCTTTGAGTTTGTCTCACTATCCATGCAGGTGCAGAGTTATTCCAGTTCAGTAAGACTTCTGGTTTACTGAGTATTTCCTACAAGGCAAAAATGTCACACTCCATCACTGGAGAATATCATAAAGCACCCAATAATGCTGAACCAACTTTTGAGTCCTTAAATATTTCAGCTATTCTTTAAACTAAAGATCTCCACAGCAGTAACAAAAATGACATTTCTAGTGATCTGTAACAAAATAATTCCTTTGATTATCTTCTGAATGGAGCTACTTAGACCAAAATATCTAATACTTTCTAACAGAGAAGTGGAAATGTGTTCTTGATTTGACTGCAGGAGAACCACTCTTCTGCACTGAGAACTGCCTGCATTCGAGTACAACTGGAGAGAAACTCTTCTTGATCACAGTAATCAGGGGAAGGCAAATTACACATTGACAATAAAGATGAATGCAGCTGTTCTGTGGATGTGGAGAACAGGGCATTGAGAAGAAGAAAGTCAGTGCAGTTCTTCAGACAACAAAGGTGCTAAAGAGAGGCTACAATTCAGTCCTAATTCTCCTTATGTATGTGTGTCTGTTGTATGTATGCACTAAAGAGGAATTTTCTAATAGAATGGAAAAAAGAAAAATTCTACACAGCCAAATTGTGGAAACCAAAAATTTTGTCAGAGTTCAAGACTGCAACGCATCATAGAGGGGTCGCCTCTGACTACAGATTTTTTTTTTTCTTCTTGTAAAATCTGCACAGAGATTTTCTTATGTGACATTAGAGAGAGATGTTATCTAAAGCTGATGTAGCAGTAACTCACTCCAACTAAAGATTAAGGATTTCACTGCACAGCCTAGTAAAGGCAGTCAAGCTAGCTTTGGGCAACCTGATCCTAAACATCTGCTGGATCTTTTAGCCTCTTTTGGGTTCCCCTGTAATCTAGCTTTGAACAGCGATTACCAGAATCATTCAGGATTTCCTTGACCTTACTCTTCTCTCTTTTCCCCACAGAAGGTTTTTATTGGTATGCTAAATCTTTCACCTCAGTAGCTAATACATACAACACCACTCAACTTGCCAAGACAAATTTTCAGGAACTCAGCCACCACCAGGCCCCGATTTTAAGACTGGGTGAAAATCTTTGAGTGAGCACATTATCAAAGACCTCACAGAGGACAAATGTTTGTGGCTGTGGTTAAACAGAACCAAGATTGACATAGACATGGGTCTAATCTTTCTGTGATTAAAGACAAAGTGGAAAGTATACAGTAGGCAAGGTGATTATTTTTTTAGCCACTTAAATTCAGTTATACTCCTCTAGGGGTATCTAGATTCAATTATACTCATCTAGGGGATGGAATGGACATTTGCTACAGCTAACATGATACACTTCTGGGAACTTGCATACCACTTTCTTCAAGGGCTAAAATGACAAAAATGGAATAAATAACTCAGCTTGCTATTTTGCTGAACTACAGGACTGCTAAATATTTATAAGACATAATGAAGTCCTGTTATTGAGCTAATATTTTCCCTCTTGAACAGATTTCTCCAGTGGCTGTCAAACATCTTCACATTAACTGTTGCCAAGTGTGAGTTTAACAGCACATCTATAGCTGGGAAAAGAAGATGAAAGTTGTCCACATGATGTTGAGTAAACAAACAGTCCCTTTGCCTCTGAGAAATACTTTCCACTATACCAGGGAGGCCAAAGGATAACTCGGTATCACTGAGTGGTCACAGTTTTCCAGACTATCCACAAAAAATTCAGCCCTTGAGAACTTGGCTTGCCTATTCTTGTTGCAAGATTTCCAAGGCCACCAGTATGTTCCTCATCAGTGCTCACCAGTCACAGGGAATTCATGCCTCTCTTTTGGCACAACCAACCACAGCTCTGTGGTGTAACTCCAGGGCATCTCTAACACACATCTGATAGCAGAAAATTTGAAAATCCAAGGCGGTTCTAATCTGACAAGACGTGTGGAAAGTTGCCACAAAAAGATTTGGTCTGCATTTAGATAACAATTTAAAATTATACAGGTATGAGATTTGTTCTAGCACAGCTACAAACCTGTCTTCAGACCTGTCTTGTAATACACAGGTTACAGGTTTCTCCCTCTATGAAGATATGACAAACCCTGGAGGTTTATGGTCATGTGTCTGTCCCTTTCCCTGTCCCTATCCCTAGCCAAAAGTTTCAGAGTCTCTGAGAGGCATAATGAGGGAAACACCTGGGAAAGGGTAACAAACTGGCACACAAGTAGAAAAGTCTCTGCCTGAGAGGCATGGACAGCAGGGAGAGCAGGAAAGTAAAGAAACTCCAGTTCTCAGACAATTCCCTGTGTCTGTCACTGTGTCACCTTGTGATTGCCTCCTGCTGGAAGGTCCCTATGCTTTTCCTGCTGGAAAAGCTCAGCAATGGCAGCATCACCCCTGAATGTTCCTCCTGCATTCCTCCCGTGAGCTGGTAGCTCACATCCAGAACCGCCCATCTCCTGGCTTCAGCCTTCTTGCAGCTACGTTCTCACAGCTGCAGCCACTGTCCAAACAGCTTCCCAGCAACATCCCAAATTTTATGCAGTCTTCAGTTTATAAATAAACAAATATCAGACTCAGGAGAGATGGGAAAGGAGAAGACAGGTCTCAGCCTAGAAAACAAACATGCTGGTCCACTGCTTTAACCCAAGGCCTCTTTATCCTGCTACTGCTCACTCCGGTACATATTAGGCCCTCACATCCCTTTCCTGGTGCAATACCTGTGTCAAAAGGTCTTCAGAGGCTGCTAAAAAGCAGAAAAGCATTCCCATATCTACTTTAGGAAGTGGTTTGTTTCCTAAACTGTCAGTAAGGAACGTACTGAACGGTACAAATGAAGACATGGCAGTACACAGACAACGAGAACAGGAGACTGGGGAGGGGGGCTCACTGCAGTCAGACTTTTCCGCAAGGGGAATCAAAGGGACAGACAACAATCTCTTCTCTCTGGCAGTCGGTGACAGGACCCGAGGGATTGGCCTGAAATTGTGTCAGGGGAGGCTTAGGTTGGATATTAGGAGAAGTTTTTTCACTCAGAGGGTGGGTGGTAGGGCAGCAGGACAGTGCTTGCAGCACCAAGCCAGCCAGAGTCCCAGCAGCATTCGGACAAGGCCCGCAGGCACATGCTGTGGGCCCTGGGGACCGCCAGGAGTTGGACTTGATCATCCTTTTGGGTCCCTTCCAAATCAGAATATTCTGTGAACTAAAAAGGAACGACACTTGATATTCATCAACGCTATTTGCTGAAGCGTGTAGCTAAAGTAGCTAAAGCTTTTTCCGAGCTGTTAAGGTGCTCCCTAGCTGGAACGGGACGGTGCCTTCGCTGCCCCTGTGTGTGCTCAGCCGCCCTTCCCCGGCGGCGGCTCCGCGCCGGCCCCGTCCGTGCCCCGGAGCATTTTCCCAGCGCTCGGAGCCGCCTGCCGGTGCCACAGGGCTCGGCAAGGGCTGTCCGGGCCGGGGCCAGGCGGGCAGGGCCTGCCCCGAGCGCGGGCACTGCTCGGAGCCCGCCCCGTTCGTGCCAGCAGCGCGGAGAGGCGGCGAGAGCCAGGGCTCCCATTGAGGGGAGGAGCGTGACGGGCACAGCAGCTACGGCGTTAAAATAAAACTCCTCTGCACTCGTGCTGTTCTAACAAAAACCACGCTGAGCTGGGTAGCCAGTCTGTCCGCAACTCCTGTCCCCAGGGAGGTGCATGACAGTCTGAGAGCTGTGCACGGCACCTCCTGGGCTGGGAGCAGCACTGCCATCGTTTCAC